GTCTTAGCTTCCCGCACCCCCCCCCCCCTCACTGTGAACGGGGCAAGGGGCTGAGCTTTGAATAGAAACAAAAAGGGCAGGGGCAGAAGGGAGCAGAGCTCCTTGGTGGGAAGAATCAGGTAATACACCTGCACTGCCTGAGACCTCACACAGCTGAGTGCGGGGAGCTGAGCCAATGAGAAAACTCCCCCTCACTCTTCAAACCCAGCACAAATGTCCCCTCCTGCAGAAAGCAATGTCTTCATCCCTTCAGCAATGTCTTGCCTTTGCCTCAGAACTCCCAGAGATTTGTCCCTCTACCACACTCCTGACAACAAGGGGCTGGGGTGTTGGTTCTGTCTCCCCCAGTCTGGGAGCACCGAGGGCCAGACCTGAGCCTGGGTCCTTGGCATTGCGCAGAACACAGAATTAAGATGGTCCCTGGAGTCCTTGCAGTTGCCCTCCTAGACATTAATGCCACCACCTCCTTGCTTTTCATCAGAGAACCTGCTTTACACAAGATGCATGCAGGGGTGGAAGTTCACCCTTAAGTCTATCCATTTTTTTAAAAGATTTTTATTTATGTATAGTTTATAGAGGGAGGAAAATGGAGGGAGAAAGAGAGGGAGAGAAACACCGGGTATATGGCCCAAAACCCAGGTATGTGCTCCAACCAGGGACCGAACCAGTGACCTTCGGGTTGGCAGGCAGGCACTACATCCACTGAGCCAAACCAGACAGGGCTATCCACTTTTTCATGAGCTGCTATGGAAGCCTCACTGGGGTCCTTGCCTCCCTGCAGATCTGGGCCTGACAGGTCAGACAGCTACTTCCTCATGTGATAGAAGCAAGAAAGAGACAAGAAAATGTAGGCAAATGTGGGATGGCCTGTGATAAGAAGGGCTGACCACGGGGGTGGGACGGTGAGGCGTCTCTGGGAGCTCCCTCGTTCCATCAACAAATCCTGCCTGGGCTAGGAATGGGGGAGCCACCCACCTCTCCACCCACCTCTCCACCCCCGGCTCCATCCTCAAGAAATGCCTACAGGGACCCCCCCTCCATGGACCCCCCCCTCCATGGACCCCTCTCCCTTAGCAGTCACTTCCCTCCCCCCACTGCACATGGCACCTCAGACCAGAGAGGAGGCTATAGATGCCCTGACTGTCCCCTGTCCCACCAGCCTACATCTCCTCTGGACAAAGATTTCAGCCTGGCACAGAGCCCAAGGGCTGGTCTGCGAGTCCCTTCATACCCCCATGGCAGGCGGGGCACCCTCAGCCCCCACCCAGCAGCGTGCACCACTTCCACCCAGCACCCAGGGGGCCAGAAGGAACGAGAGAAGGTGCTGAAGAGAGAGCATCCAGTCCTGTTACCTCCCCCACCCCAACCACATTCAAATAGGGACTTGAATGTATTTCCTGAGCTGGGGGCGGTCACAGTCAAATCTACCTCCCTTTGGACCCTTCGCCCTTACAGAAATTGTTACTGAGAAAAAGCAGCTATTTCTAGGCTCCCAAACACCAGAACCCACTCTTGGGGGCTCAGGACCAGGTCCTGCCTCAATGTCCCCCAGGGGATAGAGGGAGCTAGGAAAGGCAGAGCCCCGCCGGGTCACAGCCCCCCACCTGCCCAAGCTGCCCCAGGCCCAGGCAGGAAGCCAAGGGGAAGGAGATGCGAGGGGAAGGAAGGGGCCCAGGGCCCAGAGGAGGAGACACATGTGGGGAAGAAGGCAGAGGGGGCCCCTCCCCCACAGCCAGAATCGGGGGTAGGGGGTCAAAGAAAATCTTAGGCACTCTTGTTGGCCATCCAGAGGGTACCTAGGTATCCCCCCCAAAAAAACCCCAGAGGGTCGCATCTGGGATCTTGAACCCCAGTGAAGTCAGCCTGGGGCTTAGGTGTGGTTAACCCCCAGCTTGCCGGTTCTCAGCTTAGATTTGGGCTCACTTCGTGCCTATGAACGCATTCCTGTTACCCTGGGGTGAGTCACCCCAGGATCTCAGTGTTACCACCCACACCCGCCCCGACCCCTTAGCCAGCCGCGAAGTTGGCATGCACCCCTCTACACTGCCGACCCAGAGCTCCAGTGCACTAATCCAGCCTGGAATGCCCCCGCTTCCAACTTTCGGCTCGACAGTCCGCCGTGGGCTCACCTGGGACATCTGGGGACGCAGGTTGACCTCGCGTAAGTTGATGGCGTGGGGCAGCAGGTTGTTAAGCAGCTGGCAGAGAAGGACCCCATCCCGAAGGGCCTGCGCCAGCTCGCACACCTGGGCCCCGTCCCAGGTCACGCGGTGGCTGGGCGGCAGCACCCTGCACTGGATCAGCCAGTGGGTACACTGCCTCCACAGCTCCATAGCTGCTGCCTTCCCCAGCCGGCCCGCGAACCCCTCGCAACTTCCACCACCCGCCCTCCCGCCTGCCTGTGCTACTAGCTACCACTTCCTCTTCTTTGCCTGTAACTGTCGCCCGAAGAGGGGGTGGAGGAGGAGGAGCCGTGGGGGTGGGGGCGGGGGGAGCACCTGCAGTCCAGCCCCGCCTAGCCCAGCCCCTTCCTCGAGGGACACGTCTTTCCCCCACCAACACAACACCTGGACACCTGGGAGGAGAGAGGGGCTGCCGGGGGTCAGGCTAACTTGACTGAGACCGGTTGCCTCTGTCCATGTCCAACGGAGCAGTAACACCTGTTACGTACTCAAAATCCGCCCTCTGCTCACCCACCTCTCTGCCTCCACCCTGGTCCAGACCCATCATCGCTAGCCTGGACCAGCGCAGTCTCCTCCGCCCTGGTCTCTGCGCTCCCCCTCTCTCTCTTCCGCCGCACAATAGCCAGGGGGCGCCTGCGAGCACCGGAGTCTAGTCAGGATGTCCCTCCTGTCACACACCTTCCTCTTCAGGGGGGAAAAGTCTTACCAGCAACCCAAAAGGTCCTATATACCTGCCGTCCCTCCCCTCCAAGCCCTCACGTCCTCCACTCCCCCTTCATTCACTTGCCACAAAGGCCCCCTGCTGCTCGTCCAACAAGCCAGGCCTGGTCCTGCCCCAGGGCCTTTGCACATGCTTCTCCCCTGACTTAGGCAACTTTATAGCTAGCTCCCTCACTATGTACAAGGATTTGCTCGATGTCACCTTCTCATGAAGTCTTCCCAAACCTCCCTATTTCAAATCACAGCCTTTTATCCAACTGCATCATGACGTCTCCCTGCCATAAGCCCCGATCATCATCAAACCTAGTATTTTATTATACTTATTTCTTTATTGTCTATTTAGAAATTTGTCTCTTATGCACTGCTGGACACACCCTCAGCACCTGGCACATATACATACTCCATAAATATTTGTTGACTGAATGAATAAACAAGCAAATAAATGGTTGAAACCTCTATTGGCACTAACTCTGGCATTCATCCCAAATCCATCTATTTATCCCCATGGCCCTGGCCACTACCATCAGCTCTCCTTATAGACTTCGCCAGTGCCATTCGTTAATTGATTTGTTTAGCAAACATTTACTGTCTTCGTACCCCTTATTGCGATGTTAAAGCATCTGTCTCTGCGGTCTCTCGCCTACTAAATTGTGAACAGCCTCCTGCCCGCCCGCCTCAATCTCACTAGATACCGCTTGCATTTTCTTAATGTTTGTAACCACTAGGGGGCGCCAGGCCACTTCACTGGACATACCCCCCCACCCTCTATACCAAAATTAGGCGGGAGGTGGGGTGTCAAGGGAGAGAGATACTCCTCTCAGCCCCTCCTGAGCCTCTCTTCCCCATGACGGCGGGGAGGGTAGCCCAGCCTGGAAAATCACAGCTTTGAGATCCTACAGGTACCAAGACTTTTCATCCCCAAGCATCCTTGGCTCTCTATCTGTCAATTTCCTCATCTGTAAAATGGGTGACCATTTCGAATTATGGTAGGGATCAGCGATGGTGGGGCCGCCAAGACAAAAGTGAGAAAGACAGGATGGCCCTAGAGGGCTCCATGGTTGAATCGCCCACTCTCAAACCAGCTGTTTGGGCATATGGCTTCGCTGTCCGCCGCCTCCGTTTCTGCATCTGCAAAATGGGGGTGATGCAAATAGCACCTCCCTCACTGAGTGGCCTGGACAAAAATTAATACGTTGCAGCAGGTCAAGCAAGCAATACAGTCCTGGCATTCAGCCAGTGCTCAATAAATGTTAGCTGCGACCACTGCTTTCTTTCCTACTTCCCTCCCTTCCTTCCTCTCCTCCAGAGAGGGGGACCGGGGCGTCCCCTCTCTGGTTCGCGATCTCCCCAGCTTTCTCAGGCGTGTCTCCAAGCATCAGGATGGAAGAAGCTCCACCACCTCCTTCCTCCTGCCTGGAAAACTATCTGCATGCTCCCCCACCCCCCACCCTGTGTCTCTTCCGAGTCAAGCTGCACTCCATCGTGCTGTCACTGGGGGAGGCTGTCGTGTTTTCCCGCATCTCTCTGCGAAACCCAGCGCTCAGCCGGGGTTCCGTTCCCGGAAACTCAAGGGGCCGCCTCGAGGAAGCGCACCCCTCCGCGTCACAGCAGCCGCCACTCCCCGCCCGGCGAGACAACTTAGAGGGACCGTCCCACCTCTTCCCGGAACCCCGACAGAGGCACCCCCTTCCCGCGTCCCGAGGGGCCAGGGGTGCTTAGAATCAGCCTGAGCGAGGGTAAAGAAGGAGCCGGATTCTCAGAAGCCGGACTAAGAGGGACTTAAGGAAGAGTGGGCGTGGCCAGTAGGGGCGGGGCGATGTTCTAAGGGGAGGGGCCGACATTAAGGGAGTTTCCCAAGGGTTTGTGGTCTGTGAAGAAGTAGGTATTAACCAAAGGGGGCGTGGAGAATGCAAAGAAAGGTTCTACGGAGGTGGAGCTGGAATGAGCGGACTAGGTGAAAGCTAAGGAGGCTGAAGTTGAAGGCGGGGTCAGAAGGGGAGGGGTCTTGTGGGCGGGGTCTTAAGGGCCGAGTGGGAGGGGCCCAGAGCATCGGAGCCTCGGAGCCCTGGAGCCTCGGAACCTCAGGCTTGGGTTCGGCCCCAGCCTCTAGGGAGCTCCGCGGCTACCCTCCCAGGTGAGTGAGGGCCCCGGTCGGATCCAGGACCAGGGGTTTATTCGGGTGGGGAATCCTCTCTTTTTCAGGTGGGGCCACCGCCACGCAGGGAGGACTTGGGTTTCCACGCGCGTCCGCGGACGTAGAATGGGTCGCCACATGTCTGATTGGGTCGTTGTGCATCACGCGTGCTCATGTACCTGGGTGTACCTGGGAGTGCTCCTTTAACCGTGTTTCCTTTGCAACACGGAGATCCTCCCCTCTTCCACTTTTGCCTGACCGATCTTTTTATACCACAAACTAGATTGTGCCCCTCCCGCACTTAAAACCCTTCCATAGCCCCCATTCCATCCAACTGAGATGAAAATTTGGAGTCCACCATCTCTTGCATGGTCTCACCCCTGCTGACCTCACTGCTCACCCCGGAGCTTTTTGCTCACTGCATTCCAGACACACTGGACTCCTTGATGGTGTCAAAAAAGCAAGCTCCGCATCACCTTTGCGTTTGCAGTATCCCCCACCTGAACTGCTGTTTTTCCAAATCTTTGCATAACTGTCTCCTTCCCTTTATGGAGGTCTCAGCTCCAATGTCAGCTTCTGGGAGGTACCTCCCTGACTAGGATATTTAAAGTAGCCTGCCCTCTCCAGCCATCTTATCACATCTCCCTGTTTTACCTCCATTGATTACTTTTAGGTTTGTTCTTGTTTTGTTGTGTGTCTGTCTACCAGACAGCGAAGGCCAAGGACAGGTCTCTATCATAAGTGTTATTTCCAGGGTCCAGAACAGCACACAGTAAGTGCTCAACCAGTTGGTGGTTGCTCAGTGTCAAGTTTGTCCATCTGTGTCCGTATGTCTACATGCTGGTGGCTGTCCCCTGCGATGTGTACACATATGTGTGGTCTATAGGGCATGAATACGCCCTCTCTCCTTCCCCCGTGCTTGCCCCTACTCCACCCCCTCTCCTGATTCTTCCCCCGTCCTCTCTCCTCTGCCCAAATATCCAGAAACTATTCCAAAAGACACACGGTGTCTTTTGCTCACCCTGAGCTTTCCCCACCCACAACTAACCAGGGTTTCAGTGACCCACCTCGGTGCCCAGTAAGGGGGACATGTTACAGAGGAAACTGGAGTTGGGGGACTCTTAGGACGAGGCTGGGCCTGGCCCAGATGACAAACAGGACGTGCACAGGCATCCAGGAGACACACCTGGTGTTCAGGTATGCACTGCCTGGAGCCAGCTCCAGGCCCAGCTCCCCGCCCCTGAAGTCACCCAGGACTGGTCTGGGAACTTCCTGTGCCTTTCAGGTCCTCAGCCAGGCTGACTCAGGGTGTAAGAATCCTGGTGCTCTTTTCCTGCAGACCCTGGCCAGGTCCCAAAGACCTTGTAGTATAGGAGAGTGAGCAGCAGACCCCTTGCATTCTTCCTATCCAGGCTGGGTTTTCTCCACCAGACACTTGAGATAGGCCTGCATGATTTGATGATCAAGTGAGTCCCAAAGTGTCTGAGACCTAAATTTGACCGTAATAATAATGAAATGTATTGGCTTCAAAACTGCATTTCTACAAAAATGTGACTTTTCAACATCCTTAAATGTAGGTTACATTGGAAAGCCATGTATAGGTTAGACTTTCTGACATCCTGAGAATCCTCGTGTGCACATAGATTGCTTAGAAGCTATGGACAATAGTAAATTAAATTACCTCTGGCCTGGAATGCTCTTAGACACTGAGAACCACCAGGTTCCCTCCCTCAAAGTCCTCCCAGCCCTACTGACTGAGACCTTCCCAGGCCTCCCGATGGAAAATCTGAATCCACCACGCAGATCCTCACATCCCATCCCTGGTTATGTCTTTCTGCTTAGCTCCCTCTGAACTATCTACATGCTCATCTACTTATTTTCTTAATCACTGTCTCCCACACTAGAACAGCAGTGGTCTCTGGTTTGTTTACTGTTGGGTCTCTAGCACCTAGAACAGCGCCTGGCACACAGTGGGTGCCACATAAATATTGGTTTGAGTGAATGAGTTAATTTAATTTCTACAATGGAGCATTATGTCATCTGCATAAAATGTCATTACATTTGGAAGCAGGGCATAGGTCTTCTCCTTTTGCAAGAATCCCGGTAAATGCATGGCTGTTTCTGTGGAATCACAGCCGATTCTAAATGAAAGTTACTCATAGCCTGATCATATAGGCATATATAAACAGTTGACCCTTGAACAATGTGGGCTTAAACTGCATGGGTCCACTTATATGTGTATTTTTTTTTCAATAAATACTGTAAATATATTGTCCTAATGATTTTCTTAATAACATTTTCTTTAGCTTATTTTATTGTAAGAATACAGTATATAATATATATAACATTTTTAAAAAGGTGTTAATTGACTATGTTATCAGTGAGGCTTCTGGTCAACCACAGGGTATTAGTAGTTAAGTTCTGGGAGAGTCAAAATTTATGTACAGATATTTGACTGTGCAGGGGTCAGTGCCCCTAACCCCACGTTGTTCAAGGGTCACTGTAATCTGGCATGTCTATATTTTATCTTTATGTCTGCATATATATGTAAAAAATATATATATATAATCTGACAATGAGTAACTTTAATGTAAAATATATATATTTATATAATATATACTTATACGGAAAAAGAGAGATGCATTTTAAGATTTGATAGGATATGGGCTGCTGTCTCCAAAACTAGAGGAACACAAAAACAAATTTAAAAAAAAACAAAACTAAGTGGAGCATAGAAGGAAAGGGCTAACCTAGGCACTCAGAAAGCAGGAATAATTATTCCCATTTTACAGACGTGGAAGACTGTGGCCTGCTGGAAGTGCAGAACTCAGCCCCAGCATCCACTACCTCCAAAAGCTCTATGCAGGTGCCACGAGATGGAGAGGACTTTGCCAACCAAACCTGGTACCACGGTCCCCTGTCCCGCCAGGTACTGCCTCCTGCAGAGTCTCAGCACCGTGCAGTAGGGAACCTCTTCCACCTTTGACCTGTTAGGGATTCCTGGGTCCTGGATGAGGGATTCAGGATCAAGGTCTATTGGAAGGGGTGGCTGGGGGACTAGGGACTGTCTTGAAGCTTGGTTAGCGTGGCCTGTCACTCCCTATATTTAAACTGTCACCTTCTTTGGGATGGGGTTGAGCATGGTAACAGAAATTGAGGAAGGTGCTAGCTCCCTCAAAGCACCCCTTAGCTCTGCTTGTCTCTTCTTTCTTTCTGGGTCCCAGGCACCTATGGCCACTATAGGGTCCCATCTCCCTCACAATTCAAGGCTCCCCACCCTCATCTTCAACTCTCAGGAGTCCTGGGACCTTGGGCATCCAAGAGGCAGTATATAAGAGGCAGTATAGCTTAGTGGTTAATGTCCCACACCCTAGAGTCAGACATCCTGGAATGAAATCCCAGCCCTACAATTTACATTCTGTGTGATCTACGCTAAAGTATTTAATGTTTCTGGACCTCAGTTCACCCATCTGTAAAATGGGGATAATAGTACCTACTGTTTAAACTTGGTAAAGAATTAAGCGAGTTCTAAAGCAGCCCCTGGCATCCAGTAGGGCTCTACATGTGCCTACTGCATATATTGTTCAGTCCCCAGCCCCCCTCACCAGCTCTGCTTTGCCTCTCTGGTGTCAGTGCCCTCAGCCCCTGTTATCACGGCAGCCATCACAGCTGTCATAAGACAGCTTGAAAATTTTATAAAGGAGGATTTCTGGGCCACACTACGGAAGAATCCAACTAATGTCTTATTCTGAAGCTGCATTTGCAAAGCCAGCCAGTACATTTACTCAGATTGGGAATTGTAACAGTCAGAATCAGCCAGCAGCTCTAACAAACATTTCCAAGATGTCACTGGCTAAACACAATAGACATTTTCTTTTAACTTTTTTTTTTATTGTTGACACTATTACAGACATCCATTTCCCCCACTTTTGCCCTCTTCCACCCAGGCCCCACCCCACCAACCTTTACCACATTTTTGTCTGTGTCCATGGGCTATGCATATATGCCTGTATGTTCTTTGACCAATCTCTTCCACTCCCTCCTCCCTCCCTGAGATGTCAGTCTGTTCCATGTATCCATGCCTCTGGTCCTATCTTGTGAGTTTGTTTTTGTTCAATAGGTCCCATACATAAGTGAGGTCATATAGTATTTGTCTTTCTCTGACGGGCTTATTTCACTTAGCGTAACAATCTCCAGGTCCATCCATGCTGTCACATAGGGTAAAAGTTCCTTGTTTTTCACAACTGCGTAGTATTTCCATGCATAAATGTACCACATCTTTTTTACCCACTCATCTACTGAAGGGCACTTGGGCTGTTTCCAGATCTTACCCATTGTAAATAATGCTGCTATGAACATAGGGTGCGTGTATTCTTTCTGATTGGTATTTTGGGATCATTTAGGGGCTTGTTTATGTTACAGTCCTAGGTGGTTGAAGAGTAAGGATAAGGAGCTCCAGAAATCAGTCAGGACCCCAAGCACTTTCCATCTTGTGGCTCAGCCTTACCCTTGGGCTTTGGTGACATCAGCTGGCAAATAGGGGGCAAAACCTGCAGGATTTTGCAGGATGGGCCAGGTGTGGACAGTTCCCACTGCATTTCTGCCCTCGTCACATTGGCCAGATCTTGTCACATGGTAGCTCTAACTGCAAAGGGGCCTGGGAAATGTAGTCCAGAGGTGTGCCCATAAGAAAAGGGAGCCTGGGAAATGTAATCCAGAAGTGTGCCCACGTAGTTTGGTACAAAACTACCCAGTCTCTGGGATGGCTTTTCCTGGATAGGGGTGGTGGGGTGGTGAGGCACCATTAACTACTAGTCTGAGCTCCTACCTAAACCCCCTGCCCCCATCCTCCATCCCCAGAAGGCAGAGGCTCTTCTTCAGCAAGATGGTGACTTCTTGGTTCGTGCATCTCCGTCCCGCGGGGGCCACCCTGTGATCTCCTGCCGCTGGCAGGGCTCAGCACTACACTTCGAGGTGCTCCGTGTGGCCTTGCGTCCCCGGCCAGGCCGGCCCACCTCCCTCTTTCAGCTGGAAGATGAACGTTTCTCAAGCCTGCCCGCCCTGGTTCGCAGCTATGTGACTGGCCAGCGCCCACTGACCCAAGCTACAGGGGCTGTGGCCTCCAGGCCGGTGATGCGGGAAGGGCCCATTCGACGCAGCTGGAGTGAGGACACCCTCCTAGACAGCCAGACTCAGAGAGAGCGCCTCAGGTACTCGAGAGACTCCCGACCTTCTTTGCGACACAAAAACCCCTGGGTTCCTTCACCTCGGCACTATTGGTTCTTGGGGCCAGGTCATTCTTGGCTGTGGGGACTGTCCTGTGCATTGTAGAATGCTGAGCAGCACCCCTCATCTCTATCTACTAGATGCCAGTAGAACCCTTCCCACCCTACTCCGTAGGGGTAACAAACAAAAATGTCTCCTGACCTTGCCAAGTCCCTAGGGGTAGAGAACACCCTGGCTGAGATCCCATGGTCCTGAGTGACTGCAGGTAGTGGCTTCTGGGCACTGGTGGGGCTGCCCTGCTCAGGCTGGGTCTACATATCTACCCTATCTCTGTCCCCCAGGGCTAGGAAGTGGAGTGACAGCCAGCCTACAGGTTTGGAGCAAGCTGGGCGGTCAAGAGAAGGCCGCTATGAACCAGGTGAGAGTCTGCCAGGACAGCCCATGGCTCAAGAGATTTCTGTGCCCCTCATTCCCTGAGTGATCTCAGGCAGGTGATATAACCTCCGGGGAAATGGGAACAATGATGCTCTCCAAGTTGTTATGGTGGTTACAAAACACATAGGAACTTTATAGGTACTTACAATGTGGGTTTACAATTATTCTAAGAAGCTCTGCATGTTCTGACCATGGGTGACCTCCCTCCCAACTCTTGTCATATGCCTGCACCGCCGTGACAGTCTCCCTTTCCGTTGCAACAGTCTCCCTTTCTGTTGCGACAGCCTCCCTTTCCGTTGCTAGGACCTGGCGAATTTGTTCCTGCCTCAGGGCCTTTACACTAGTTGTTCTTGCCCTTGGAAAGCCCATCCCCCTAATCTTTTTCTGACTCCTCCTGTCTAACATGAGTTCCTCAAAACAGCTTCCCCTAATTATCCCACCTACAGAAGGTCCCCTCTCCCTCCCGCCTGGCCGGCCCCATCTGCCCTGTCCATCCCCCAGCCCATTCCACAGGAGCCCGCTCTTTATGCCAGGCACTGGACTAAGAGCTGAAATATGGCAATGAACAGGAGAAACAAAGATTTCTGACCTAGTGGAGCTAACATCCTGCTGGGAGAAGACAGAGCAAGAACAAAAACAATTATGTATGATTTGGGGTAAGAATTAAAAGTACAACAGCCCTGACCAGTGTGGCTCAGTTGAGTGTCAACCCACAAAGCAAAAGGTCACTGGTTTGATTCCCAGTAAGGGCACATGCCTGGGTTGCAGGTTCCATCCTAGTTGAGTCATGTATGAGAGGCAGCCGATTGAAGTTTCTCTCTCATGGATGTTTCTCTCCCTTTCTTTCTCCCTCCCTTCCCCCTCTCTAAAAGTAAATAAATAAAAAAATTTTTTTAATTAAAACTACACCAGAGAGCCCTGGCCAGGTAGCTCAGTTAGTTGGAGCATCATCCTGATGCACCAAAGTTGCGGGTTTGATCCCCGCTCAGGGCAGATACAAGAACCAACCAATGAAGGCATAAGTAAGTAGAACAACAAGTTGGCGTTTCTCTCTTTCTCCCTTGCTCTCTCTCTCTATAAAATCAATAAATAAAGAAATTTTAAAAAGAAATACAACAGAGTAAGGAAGATTTTAAGTAGCAGTCAGGAAAGGCCCATGGAGAAAAATTTCAAAGAGGTAAGAAAGGGAAGGATGTGGATAACTGGGGTTGACGGTGGCCCAGGCAGAAGGAACAGCTCAAAGGTCCTGCGGCCAGAGCAAGAGCTTGAACTGCTCATTCAACCAAAAAGAGATGAGTGTAGCTGAGGAAGTGGCAGTGATGGGGAGGTCAGAGGGAGACCTGGGGCTCAGATTGTGAGAGCTTTTTTGGCTACTGTGAAAACTTTGGCCATGACTCAGAGTGAGCTGGGAACCATGGGAAGTTGTTAAGGTCCTATAACAGGGTCTATTTAAATGCTTCATAAGTATAGAATCTCCCAAAAGTCTGGATGTGGTTTTAAGTTCTAACAGTTTTTGAAGTAAACATGCCACAAACTTAACAAAAGACATCATTTGAAGGTGTAATAAATTCTGTTGCTTTTATGTTTATGCACTTTTGTGAATTTTGAGTAATATATTTTTATTTTTAGTTTGTACCCTCAATGCTTTACCATCTTCAATCAGAGGGACAAAAAGAAAGCATTCAAATTTTAAATGTGGTGTTCAGAATTTGCAAAACTTCGTAAGTGTCAAAGTTTATTTTCAAACCATGGGGAAGTGTGTAGCATTTATACTGGGAAAGTTGTTTAAGTTCAAAGCCACACCGAAATAGGTAGGAATACTTGGGTACTGACTGAATAAATGGATGACTGGGACCCCCTTCTTGCATGACTCCCAGGAGCCTCTGCTATGCCCACACTTGCGCTGTCTCGCATGGGTAGTGACCCTGAGTTGCTGAAGACCCTGACTCCCCTGGGATTCATTGCTGGCAGCCTCAGGGCCTCGGATGGGCAGCTTCTTGCCAAGGTGCCAACCAAGCCACCTCAAACACCCTCACTGGTGCTGCCTGATGCCTCTGGACAACCCCCAGTGGACTGTCAGCCGATATGCCAAGTGTCCAGTGCCCAGGGAACACCCCCTGGCCACAGCTGCCCACGGCCAGAAGCCCCATGGTGGGAGGCCCAGGAGGAGGAGGAGGAGAGGTGTTTTGCAAAACCAGAGGCAGAGGTCTCTTTCTGCCCCCCTGACACCCCCTCCAGCCTGCTGGGTCCCCAGAATCGGCCCCTACAACCTGAAGTCCTGTGTGCTCTCCGAGGCCTATTCCTGGAGCACCATGCTGGGAGCATTGCTCGCCACCTACTATTGGCAGACTGCCAGGTGAGTCACAAACCAGGTCCCTCCTCTCCAGGCAAAGGAGAGGCCCCATTGCATCTCACACCCACGTACTCTGTTCAGTTGTCCTCCTCGCTCCACCCTCAACCTCCCTGCCCCTAGGCTGCTGGCCTACTGGGAGTGACCAAAGTTCAGCAGGATGCCATGGGGGTTGCTTCTGGCCTGGAGCTGCTCACACTTCCCCATGGCCATCGCTTGAGGTCAGAACTGCTGGAAAGGTGAGCCAGCTATCTGGAGTTTCCAGGATCTCCAAATCTCCCCATGCAGGGAGGGAAGATGGGCAATGCCTCCTCCCGTTCTTCTTCACCCCGAAATACAAACCTCCCCACTGCTCCCAGACCTTTGCCCTCTGCCTCCACAGGCACGAGGTGCTGGTGCTGGCCGGCGCACTGGCGGTGCTAGGCTGCACAGGATCGCTGAAGGAGCGCACAGCTGCCCTGAGAGGCCTGGTGGATCTGGCACTGGCGCTGCGGCCAGGGGCGGCAGGGGACCTGCCTGGATTGGCAGCGGTCATGGGCGCCCTGCTCATGCCCCAGGTACACTGGGTGCAGTGATGAGGAGAACGCCCGATTGCAGGAGATGGGGACGAGGAGCCTTCTTACCAGGGTTCTTACCCCAGGTGTCCCGGCTGGAACGCACGTGGCGCCAGCTCCGACGGAGCCACACCGAGGCCGCGCTGGCCTTCGAGCAGAAGCTCAAGCCGCTGATGCGGGCGCTGGATGAGGGCACCGGTAGGTGACACCATTTGGAGCCGTGCACCAGCTCTAACTCAGAAGCCGAACCTAGCGAGCGCTAGGCCAAATCCCTGCCTCTGTCCTTAGACCTGCCTATTAGCCACTGACTCCGCCTTCTCCAAACCAGATTGGGCCTGGGACTCAATCCCTAGGTCCCGCCCCCATTGTGCCCCAGGACCCGCCCCTTTACCCTCGGCTGTGCTTTCTGCATTCTAGGCTCCACCTTATGCACTAGGCTTGGTCTTGGCCCCAACCCCTAGGCCCTGCCCCTGTCCAATACCACTCCCTTGACTCTATCTAGTTCCGCGAGGCTCAAGCCTACTTGAGCGAAGTCCCGCCGGTTACTTTAATCTCGTAATGCCTGGCCCAATGTCCCACCCTCTTCACCCTAGGCTCTGCTCTCTGCCCTAAGCCCACCCCAGACCCTTCTCCCCACAGGACCCTGCGACCCTGGCGAGGTGGCGCTACCTCACATAGTACCCGTGGTGCGCCTGTTGGAGGGCGAGGAACTCCCGGGGCCGCTGGACCGGAGCTGCGAGCAGCTGCTGCGCACTCTGCAGGGGGCGCGTCACATGGCCCAGGACGCACCCAAATTCCGTCAGGCCGCGGCCCGGCGGCTACGAGGTGAGCGCCCCCTCTGCGCTTTGCTGCCCTAACGGGGTGCCCCCAAACCTTGCTAGGCACCGGATCCTCTCGCCACGTCTCCCAGAGCCCCACACAAATTGGGACAGCTGCCCTTAGGGGCTCCCAAGCCTGCTCTGCAACCAGCAGTGAAAAAAGTGCCCTACAACCAAAAGGGATGGCCCTGCCCCACAGACCCACGGCCACAGGTCGCACTCCCATCCATCCCAACTCTTCCCAAGTTTGTCGCGCAGGGTGGCCTGGGACCCCAAATCCTGATCCTGGGCGTCTCTATCTCTAGGCACAGCCCCTAAGGTGGAGCCCCTAGCAGCTCAAATCAGGAACAGCTCCCCCATGCACCCAGACCCAGCTCACCTCCAAGCCCCTCGGCCACGCCCTCCCCCAAACCTCCAGAGACGTAGCAGCCTGCTCCCCACCAACCCCACTTGATTAGCTGGAGTACTTGGAGCAGTCCCGCCAAGCTTCTGCTGGGTCAAAGTTCCCAGGGGAAAAGGCAGATGTGAGGAGGGGCAAGGTAGGATACTGGGCCCCACCCCCAGCGCACCTGGCCCTGCCCCCAGGATTCCGGCCCAACCCGGAGCTGCAGGAGGCCCTGACCACTGACTTCGTGCGGAGGCTGCTTTGGGGGAGTTGGGACGAGGGAGCGCCACGAGCTGCTCGTCTGGAGAAGTTTCAGCACATCCTCAGTGTCCTGTCGCAGCGCCTGGAGCCTGACTGCTGAGAGTGCAGACCCCTTTCTTCATACTGGGACACTCAAGACTTCTGGGGACCCCAGCAGGAGACCAAGGAAGTCATCCCAGGCTGCTCACACAGCCAAGCAGGGTGAGGACCCACACCCTGGCTTGGAGAGGGAAAAGGGCCATGTTTGTAAGAACCCACCCTGCTCCCTAAAAACAGACAGGGATCCTGGGGTGAGGGGCAGCCTCCTCCTCTGCACTAGAAGATGCAGGTATATGGAGGCCTTGGCTGCCGCTCCCTCTCCTTCTCCCTCTCCCACCCCCACCCATATCCCACAAATGGTGAACATGCAGCTTCTAATAAGAGAACTTGCAGACTAAGAGGCTGGAGTTCAAATGCCTTTTAAAAGTTGTGTGACTTATAGCCCTGACTAGTGTGGCTCAGTGGGTTGGGTGTTATCCCACAAACCAGGTCGCTGGTTCGACTGCAAGTCAGGGAACATGCCTGGGTTGTGGGCCAGATCCCAGGACGGAGGCTTGCGAGAGGGAATCAGTTGCTGTTTCTCCCCCTCCCTTCCCCTCTGTAAAAATTAAAAAAAAAAAAAAAAAAAAAAAAAAAAGTTGTGACTTACAGCAGATTGCCTGCCCTCTCTGTGCCAGCCTTCAACATAAAAGTGAGACTACTTTCTAAGGGTTATCATGGGAATTACAGCTCAATGTTTAGAGATGATGGGTGGAGAATGCCTGGCACACAGTAGGTGTTCAATAAATGCTACTTGTTCTCAGTAAGCTGCCACGAACATGAAAAAGATGTTTAGCACCCTTTCCCTACACTGGTCACAGACAAGGACCCAATTCTCAGGAAGGGACAGGGTGTGCCCAAGGTGTGCCCACATTTACCTCCCCTTCCTCATTCCCTGTGTGGCCTGTAAGGAGGGAGGCATTTGAATATCCAGCCCCAGTATCCAAATCTAATAAAACATGGACTCCAAGAACTTTACATATTTTTTAATATATAAAACAAAATGGCCCTAGCCAAGTGGCAGGAAGAAAAGATTTAAAACATGAGTATGTACATCAATGGTAGAAGGCACAGCGGGTCCATCTGAGGTGAGGGGTGGAGGTGGGGGGCAGCAGGTTACACAGGTCTCAGCTGAAGCCACGGGGGCAGAAATAAAGTGCGTAGGTCCTGGGGGCCCCCCGGTGGCCCAGAAGCAGCAGCCGACAGCCTCCCTCTTCCCACCTCTGGCAGGGTTCAGTTGAGCGTGACTCGGAGGTAGGAGGTGGGCACGTAGCCTTCACCTCCCTGTTTCCGCCTGACCCGAGTCCAGCCATCACCTTTGTCCTCTTCCATGAGACTCAGGTCTTCACCCTCAGCCATGGAGATGGTACCCTCGCTGGACCCTGTCATGGGGGTGGTGGTGGGCTCAGGTCTGCTTCAGGCAAATTTAAACAGAACCCAGCCAGACAACCCCCAGCCCCACCCAAGCAACTGATGCTCACCTTCAAAGTGATAGATGGCCACACAGTGACCTATGGGGGATGCAGGCTCCTCCTCAAAATCCTCATCGAACTCTGTGTAGATGGGGGTGTCCTGGCCTTCCTCCAAGGGGGGCTCTTCAGAGCTGGCAGGAAAGAGCAAAGCAGTGGAGAGAGGCCTCCCATGTACTGGGGGACAGGCCCACTGTGGCCGCTCCACTCACCTCTCCTTGTTGTCCTGTGACCCCCTGTTGCTGCTGCTGCTGCTGCTGCTGCTGCTGTCGGGTGGGGCGCTAGCTGGGGGGTCCGGAGGCCGGGTGTGCCGGCCCAGGCTGTCCCCCCGGTTGCTCAGGACCCGGCTCTCAGCTTCTGCCAGCCAAGCCTGAGAGGAGACGACCATGCGGTCAGTTCCAGGGCAGGGCTCAGGGTCAGCCCGCTCTGGGCTCAGATGTTTCCTGAGATCACCCATGCACACCCAAAGCCGTGATGAGAAACAGCTGGAGCCTCCCCACAACACCTCCCTGTCCCCTAGGCAGTGACTCAGCCAGCCTGGCCGGCCCCCACCCCTCCCCAGGGTCTTCCCTGACCTCATACTTCTGCACTTCCAACTTCAGCCGTTCAATGTTGTTCAGGGTTTCTGCGATCTGGGGTTCCAAGCTGGCGGGGTCCCCCATCTGGGGAGTCTTCTCATACACATCCTTCATTTTCTTCAGGGCTTCCCTAAGACCAGAAGAGACAGATGAAAAAGAACAGCCCTATGTGATTTAACAAGCAAAAAATACGAGCTTTGCTTCATGGAGCAAATAGCCAAAGATAGTGCTTAAAGCTCACATACTAGTGCTTCAACGTCTGGGCTCGAATCCCAGTCTGGGCATTTCCTAGTTGTGTCATCTTGAGTTGTTTTGAACCTGTCTCAGTCTGCTAACCTTCACAATGGGGATGATGGTACAGCTATCTCATGTGAATGGTTGTGAAGATTAACAGCAGTGCCTTTATTTATTCAGCTACACATTGAGGGCTGCATAGCAGGCACTGTTCCAGGCACCGGAAATATAACACTAAGCAAGTCAGCCAGGATCCTGCCTCTGCTCACACACAGTGTCTCAGGAAAACTTGGGAACTCCAGTGAATCCATGGAAAGGGTTAGGAATAGTGCCTGGCATACAGTAAGTGCTCTATAATTGCTAGGTGTTATTATCATCAGTCCATGGTCCCTATTTCCTCCGTAACTATATAACAAGCAGTAATTGTTATGAGCATAGATTTCTGGAAAATGTCAAACCTGGGTTTAACTTCTTTCTAGTCCTAATATGATCCATATTATAGATGCAGAAACTGAGGCACAGAGAGGCAACACCTGGAATTCACAGCCAGTCTGTGTTGACGTCAGAGCATGTACCCTTAACCCCTAAACCATAAAAACTCAGGAACTACAATGTTCCTAATGGAACTTTACACCAATAAAAGCTGTTTTGTACAAGATGGCAAAATATCATTTCTCTGCCTGTCTGCAAGTGGCAAACGTCATTTCTATTATGTAAGAGGACTGGGAAGAGGATCTTGCTGCTTGGAAAGAATGAGTACAAACTTCTTTTTCATCTGCCAGATTTTTTATTGTTAATATTTCAAGTGTTTGAGTTAGTAAATAGATAACCATATGTTGATTTTTTAGCCCATTAATGCGGTATATGAGACTTAATAGGTTTTTTTGTATACTGACCCATCTTTGCATTACAGGGTTAACACCCAATTGCTCATGACTTTTTTAAAGTCTTTAAAAAAGTGTTTTGTTATGATAAAATATACATAACATAGAACTTCCCACTTGAGCATTTTTGGTTCATTTATGCCAAATGTACAATCCCAGGCATAGAGTACATTCACCCTGCTGGGCAACCGTCACTGCGGCCTGATGTATCAGTTTTAAAACACACCACCAGATTTGCCTGGCTTAGGATTTTGCACCTAAGATCATAAGGGAATTCAAGTGAACCCGTAATTTTATTTTCTTGAATTCTTGCTGACTTTGAAATCGAAACTCCACCAGCCTCCACAATGAGCTGGTGGCATTCACTCATGTTCTGGGTGCTGGAAGGAGTGGTACAATATGTAAAGTAACTGTTTCTTATAAGGGGAAGAAGAATTGCTACATAACCATCAGGGCCTGGGGCTTGTTGGGAGATGTTTGAGTACTATTTCAATGTACAGGCGGTCCCTGACTTACCATGGTTTGACTTAGGATTTCCGACTTTATGATGGTGTGAAAACTATACCCACTCAGTAGAAAGCATACTTCGAATTTTGATCTTTTTTCAGGGCTAGCAGTCTGCTACTCTGTCAGGATGCTGGCAGCAGCGGAGAGCCACAGCTCCCAGCCAGCCACAGCCACAAAGGTAAATAAGCGGTACTATGCAACGTAGTATCACATGCACTTTGACTTTTGGTATTTTCAATTGACGATGGATTTATCAGACCTAACCCCATGATAAGATGAGAAGGATCTGTAACTCTTTATTATTTCATTTTCTTCTCTGCCTCCCTCTCACCTTACCTCTGGTCAACCTCCTTCTGTAGCTCACGATTACGTTCTTCCAGCTGTTGTTGAAGCCGCTTTCTCCGCTGCTCTGGGGGCAAGTGGCTAAAATCCTCAGTCACCACTGTCTGCAAGGTAGAGAGAGAACTGAGTTTGGATCATAGAGTTGGAGTTCCCAGGCTCTAAGACAGTTGTAAGATAACACCAAGCCTACCTTCCTCCCCACCCAAGGTTCTTGGGGGGCAAGGCCATGCACAGAGCAAAGCAGGATGGAGTCACGCAATGGGAGGAGGGGCCCAGCCAGCAGCAGGAAGCGAGCCCAGGGTCCCGCCACCCAGCCGCTGGGCAGGCTGGGGCTGCCCCTCCTCCTCCCTGGAGGCCTCACTTACCCCACGGCTACCTCGAAGGCTGCGGAAGGATGCTAGCCGCGGTTTGACCGACCTACTGATCTCACTCAGTATGGCCAAGGGGTCGAGGCCGGAGCGGGGGGACGGGGGTCCATTAGGCAATGCCGAGGGCAGGGGGCCCCCCAGGGGGGAGAGGGGTGGAGGACGCGGCTACCAGTGGGGACCGTGGAGGGGGTAGGTCAGGAGGGGTGGGAGAATATAGAGAACGAGTACAAATGTGGATGGACGGAGCGATGCAATAAAGGAAAAAACCAAATGGAGAAAAGAAAAAAAACGGTAAGAAAACCACAACTCAAGATGCATAATTATACACAGAAAATGCATGCAAAGAACACAAATATCTAGGTGATGGCAGGAGGGCATTAGACTGTGAGCCAGAAGGCCAGACCCCTTCCTCCCCCAGTATCTCCCATATGCCCTGCATCCCATGTTCAGTACTTAGGATGGGGCTGGGGGCGCAGGTAAAGCCCATGTTTCTGCTTCCCCACCCCCGGCTTTCTCAGCTCACAGTCTAGAACGTGGAGGGAAATGTGTGCAGGAGTCAAGGGCAAGCTGAGAGAAGGGTCAAAGGCATGAAATATCAGAGGATTACAGGGGGTGTTTCAGCTGGGCAGGGAGGAGCGCCATAAATAAATTGAAGTGGAGTATCAAGGGCCAAAGGTATAAACTAGGGAGGGGGCAGTTGCTGAAGGTATAAACCAGGAGTGTCCAAGTATGTGCTGGACATTGAAAACCAAAAAACCCAAGAGAAAAACAGCCTGGAGGTTGGGGCCCAACCACATAGGTGGGATGGAGAGACCCAGGGGAGCCCCCAGGGCCAGCATCTGAGTCCTCACACAGCCCTGACTGCCACAAGCAGGTCTTCTCCTAGCATCCTGAGAAGCAGCAGACAGACGCCACAGCCCGCCCCCCCGCCACCTTCTCCCGGCCCCCCGTCAGCCTCAGGGGACTCCCAGGCCAATCTCCACCTTCCTTCCCTCTAGCCTGGGCCGGCAGCCAAGAGGAAAATTCCTGCCCGGGACTCAGCGTTCCAGCGGCTGGGGCTAACTCACTGGGCCCCCCCCCCCACCACGTCACTATCCCCACTCACACCCCGTCCCCAAGAACCCTGGCCCCCACCT